CCAGCTTAACGATATAATCTAAGTAACCTGCTAGAACATATATATATATATATATATATATATATATATATATATATATATATATATATATATATAGTCATTTCATACAGACTAACATACTAATATGATACTGGGCTGCGTGATTGAAAATATACAACTACGCCGATGGTCTAATTATTTACTCGTAGAATAAACTATAACTGAGTCACTATGTACTACATAGAATTACAAGCATACATTGAGACGAGAAAAGTACCTGTAGATATAAGATATCTGAACCAAACACAATAAGTGACAATCTTAAGCTCGACATGCATGATAGGTGTACGCCTCTTGCTCAAAGATTAGTAATACCAGGTTATATCACCTGCTAAATAAACCATATGAACAATGGTATACTACTTATTTATTGGAAATTATCATTTTTATTGTGAGAAATTTATAAAATCAATGCAAATTGAAATGAGACACCTTAAGAATTCGGCATACTCTAAAGAACTATTCATATAATTTAAATGAGACGGGTAAATAATGTCTAGAACGGACTGCAGTATACTCAAGATCAGTCAACCTGACTTGACAAACTGAAAACGGTTAAGAAATTACTGACACACGACGACTGAACAGATTTTCATAAAACAAATATGCAAAACAGAATGAATAAAAAAGGCACTTATATATCTCCTCTCATAAATCTCTAGTAATTTATACTGCCCATTAGAATTGGTCTGTAAAATATTCACTCGAGCAACTAGTGTTTCACACTTAGATATTTTCAGGGATCTATAGTATTTTTGAATCCTTCATATAAAATATTCATTTTTAATTAGTTGCTTTACACTATCATATAAATTTTGTAAATAAATATAAAATCAATACAAAATAAGTGACATTATGTCAATCTAACAATATAGTAATCAGTTATTAAGACTACGTCTGTCAAATTAAAACTAAAATGAAGCTTTATAAAAGTTGGTTACCATAAGATCAAGAATAGGAACTGAAACGAAATGTATATTTTGTGTTATCTGTCAGATTATTAATAAATAAGTATTATAACGAGTGAAATAAAAGTTAGATAGTCAGATTATTAGATACATTATATAAGATGAAGATTCAACAAATTCGAAAACTTTGGGAAGATAATAGCAAATAAGTAGAACAAGGGAGATTAAAAAGCTAAACAGAGTGTTTCTGTATGCAGATGTTAGGTATATTCACATACATTACTACAGCTTCTGCTGTACGTAAGAGTCAAATTCTGGAGACAGAGTAAGTTCAGTGAGATTCTACAGATAACTTTGAACGCTGAATTTATATCGACATGGTGACCAGTATTAAGAGGGTGAGCCAAAATAGACCTAATTGTTTTCTTTTATCCTTTGTTAGAAAACTTGACGGGTGTCCATTTCTACTAGGTGGATCATGAATAAGTATTAGTTTCTCTTTTGGGAAGTTAGCAGATCAAATAATTTTGGACCTGTGGGATAAGTGTTTGATTAAGTTTTTCTTACGTCATAATGAGATAAAGCTCAAAAATGTGTACATTGGTTTTATGTGTGCGGTTTGCGATAAACGTTACTTTTTATTGTGAATAATGTGAAAGATTTAATCTGTGATTAAATACAAAGACACTGGCATAATATCTGTTCTGATTCTAAAAATGTGTTACCTAAAGACGTTTGAACAATATTTATGCAGTTGGAACATAGATAAAAAGTATAAAATGTCTATTAATATTGGTGTATACAGTCAATTGGTATCGTACTAAATGCGATCAAAGTCTATTTTCATGGATTTATTTTCCTAGAATTCGTTAGTACATACTTTGAACAATTAGATGATTGACTTTTATTGTTTAAGCATGAGAGTACTTCCTATACTTGGAGTAAAAACAATCATTTACACAAGTTCAAGTTGGAATCCTGCGTGTCAAATATTTCTAAAAACCTTGTCAATTATTTACCGGAAATAGTGAGTTATTTCAGATGAAAAAAGCTAGTTACAAAAAAAATTTGGGCATAGATATCATCTTATGAACTTCTATTAAATCCATTAACTAAGTAAATGTTATAGTACTGGCCTCTGGGTCATAATCACTGGCAAGCAAGAGCTAATATTTTGCTCTCTAGGCTGAAGTACGTGAAAATGGATCTTAACGAGTGATACAACGGTTTAAAACTGAGCTTACAGCACTGAATTATCGGCGTTGAACATTAGTTACTTAATCATTCTGGTTACTTCTGTAAGGGTACTTAATTATTTATATTTAAGAAAGCTCTGGAATAAGAACGGTCACAAAACGACAAAATTGAGCTGATCCATTATTAAGCTAGAAAAACGTTAGATTTCATTTGCCGCCAGATTATTGTGACATTAAATACTAGTGATGAAAAATTCGGCTTATGAACCTCATATCTCATTTTGAGAGACGATAATCCAATACAAAAGTGAAAAAAAAGTTTTTAATACTCAGTCAGTTACAACGTAGAGCTTCGTACGTACGTACATCAGTTCGAGTTGCCATACCACAGTAGCACAGAGATGAAGTTGTCAATTCAAATCCCATATTGGTAGAAGTAGTAAGAGTATAAGTATTATGTGAAAGATAAGGGTTTGAAGATGTTATTGAAGGAGTATAATACAGTGAAATAAAATTTGGAAAGAGAAAAAGGAAAAGGACACAAATAATTCAAAAGATTGGAATTTGGGAGAACACAAAGAGTGGATACACCTTCGCCATTGCAAACGATTTTGAGCCATGTCATTCAAGGTCTCTAATCATCGGTTGCTATCATCTCGCGGATCCCAACCAGGTAGTCTACACCTACCAACATGGCTCAGTCCACTTGTCAGTGACTTCATGGATTTATGCCATGTTTTGGTCTGGCCGCCCCTAGCTTTCTTCCAACCTGCTCCTACACTATAAAGCATTGCACATCGGGGCAGTCGGTGGTTGGACATACGTAACACATGTCCCAGCCATCTCAACTGATGAAGTTTCACTACTTCATCAATCGATTTGACATCCTTACCTAGTACCCGTTTCCTAACATCTGCATTACTTACCCGGTGGTCCCAGGATATACGAGTAATCCTTCGAAGACATCTATGATCGAAAACTAGTAGCCTACGAATATCCTCTACTCTCATGGGCCGTTTCATTGCCATAAAGTAGGACGGAACGGACTGCTGCACAGTAAACCCGTCATTTGGTTGCTAGACGGATATATCGCCTACGCCATGAATGGCGCAAGTTGGCGAAAGCTAGACGAGTCTTCTGTATCCGTGCTGAGATTTCGTCATACACCAGACCACAAGGGCTGATCAGACTCCCAAGATAAGTGAAGCTGTCAACACGCTCAACTACTTTACTCCCTATCATTAGTTCAGGTGTCCATGCAACACAATCCTAAAGTAACATTTTGCACTTCGAGGGAGAGAATCGCATCCCGAACATGCCTGCATTGTTGCTCATGGTGGTCAGAAGACTCTGCATTTTGTCAGCGTCTTCAACAAATAAAACTATGTCGTCGGCGTATTCTAAGTCAACAAGTGAGCCTCCTGGTAAAAGTTCAACTCCTGGAGATTGAGATGATGAAAGTGTTATCTCCAAAAGCATGTCGACGGCAAAGTCAAACAGGAATGGGGAGAGTGGACAGCCCTGACGAACACCACTCGAGGTAACCAATTCTGATGACAGTTCGCCATAGGCTCTAACTCGACCAGTTGTGTTCAAGTAGAGAGCCTTTATGAGGTTAATGTACTTCTTTGGTACTCCTTTCACTGACAAACACTGCCATAGAACCTCACGATCAACGGAGTCAAATGCCGCCTTAAGGTCAAGAAATACTACTATTGTGGGATGTCTGAATGTATGTCTATGTTCTAGGACCTGACGTAGAGTGAATATCTGGTCTATGCAACCACGTCCAGGTCGGAAACCAGCCTGGTTTTCTCTAGTCTGCTCTTCACGAGCTTTCGTTAGGCGTCCAAGTATTATTTAAGCTAATATTTTAGACACTATATTAGTCAAACTGATTTCTCTGTGATTGTCACAGGAGAACTTTTGTCCTTTCTTATAGACTGGCACAATCAGCGATTGGGACCAGTCAGATGGAATTACGTCCAGTTCCCAGATTCTACCTAACACCTCAGTCAATCTCGTTGCTAGTACTGGACCACCATCCTTAAAAATCTCAGGCGTAAACCTGTCAGGGCCTGCTGCTCTCCCTCGCTTTACATTTCCTATAGCTTTTTCAACCTCGTAGAGAGTTGGAGGACTTACCTCAATTTGCCATTCAGGACGACTGGTCAAAGAAAACATTTTCTCAACAGGATTCGGAAAGTATAAAAGCGACAATGTATTTTAATTACGTTATTGATTATTCTGAATATTATATTTTGCGTCCCGAGTAAAGGAATTCCCATTTACTAACATTTTTACTATCGTAAAAAATAAAGTAGTGGGTAAAATATACTACTCAAATGAAATTAGTAGTTCATTACAGTATAGCACTAAAAGAATTGGGATGAACGGCGAGTAATACACAGGACAAAAATAAACAGGTAGAAATTAACAATATCGCAAGAAAGGTGGAGTTGTGTAAAATTCTACGTGACATAATATAAATTTTAAGACGGAAGAAACTTGTAACTGATAATCACCTCTTCTAAGTGAGTACTTTTTTGCTACAATATTGAAACTATTTTCGTGATATTTAAAAATCGGTTATTTAGAATGAAATAAACTACAGTGAAAGCTAAATCAGATCGCATGTTTACTATCAAGAAGATAGTTGAATTGAATAAAAATCACAATTTTAGTTTTTCAGCACAATGAATAAGATATTCATGGAGGGGCTTGATTACTTTGTACAGGTGGCGCCACATATATTTATGCGAAGGTATATTATTTTGAATAATTATGTAACAAATCAGTAATCAAAAAAATTAACATATTACACTTTGGGATATCTGTATTACGAAAATAGACCTACCAGCTTTGGCATGATTATTCGTGCTACTAAGCAACACACTTCTCCACTAACATCATCCTTAACCTTTATTATTTCATATTTGGGAGTATCACTTTTAAAAGGTGGATCAGGTAACTCTATCACTTTTGGTTTGGGAGGTCTAAAATATTTAAAAATAAAGAGATTATACATATATACTTATTCTTACTGAGAATCATTCATTTCAATAATTGCAGGACGACTAGAAGTTCGAATACATTGTTCTTGTGGTTTACCCATACATTTCTTATTCTTTAAAACAATCCAACCTTTCAAATTAAATTAGAAAATAATGAACACAGATTGAATGCTTACTTCTTTCAAGTTCGATGCCATACTTATTTTCCAAGCCTTCAAATATCACTGTCATCAAAAATGCCTCAAACAATTCTGATGATTTGACTCTTTGGTAGAATTGTGGATTGATTATGACATCATAAGCGGTACAGCCTTTCTGAGCTTAAAATTGAATAAATAAAGTATAAAATTACAAGGACTTTGAAAAACGACATCTATTTTCATCAGTACATGCATTAGGGTTGACTGCAGCATTAGTTTTTTTTTATTAATAAACAACAGGTGGTTTGATGTGTAAGTTTTATTTTCATTAGTATTCATTGACAACGTGTAGAAATTTTAATGAAACTTTGGTTTTTTGTGAGCCATCTACGAGAATTCTATTAGTTATTAATTAATGACTGTTGTTGAGATTACACTAAACAACAATCTACTTGAAGTGTTCTACACTTGATATCCAGGTTCACATTAGAGACAATATATATTTAAGAAGTCATTTTACATTTTGTAGACTTAAAACGCTTTATAGATATCTTAAGATTTGTTAAAAAGCTTTATTAATATTATACACTTCATCTGCATCCCTACTCAATATGATATCATTTGTATATGCTCAGTTACTTCATAGATTCTCAACTAAATCAATCAATCAAAATACAAGTAGATGATTACTTTAAGAACTTTTATGAAGTACGATTCTGGTACTTTGTTAACACACTTTCAGTGAAGAAATGGCGGCCGATTAAGGATGCAAAATGATACAATGTGATATTATATATATATATAACGGTTTCAGACTGAACTACTTATTCTTATCCCACATAAATGTATCTAACTGGGCTTACTGATTGACTGAAAACCATCAAATAAAACTAATTTAAGTGATATCGATGATGATGTCCACAGTTATAGGGCTTCATATCAATAAAAATACAAAAGAATGTGGTTAGAAAATATCAAACACATGGCCTATCGATATGTAACACTGCTCGAAAATCACCAACTATTTAATTGTTTTGAGAATTCGGAATGCTTCTGGTTCATTACAACAATGAGAAACGTCGAAACGTGAGTTAACACTTCTAGTACATATATGTGTGTTCTGAGATTATAACGCCTCAGAACTTCCTACCGATACTGATAGTTTTTGAGTGCTTGTCCAGGACTGCCCCGGAGTATATAGGATACAAAGTGATTTCACTTTTGTTGTGACTGGGAAACAAAAGTTGAGTGAGGATAACATAAGGATATAAGTACTAAAACACTGAGAGACAACCAATGAGTGATAAATTTTGTGATTAGATAGTAAATCATTGTGTAGTAAATCAGATTGCTGTAATGAGTAGAATAAATAATGGGTTCAAAATAGCAAACACATTCTGTAAATGATCCAAACAGTTGTCAAAAATTAGATCGTTAGCCCAGCGACGATCTAATGTATGTAACGCCCAAACCTTAGGTAAGGTGTTTGGACAGAAAACAATATTTTGTGATATTAGTGGGTCAATGTAGTCCAGAAGGATTGGAACGTTGTCAACCAAATGTCACCATTAATTCTAGTTCCAGTGTTCGTAAATAAAATACCCGCTTGTACGGTAGAATGAGTAAACATATTAAGGGGCTCGAATGCAAGCAACAGTTGAAAATGCCAATATGTTCTAGAGATTTGATACTGGTTTAGACCATGGTTTAGACCTTGTAAGTATCACAACTGTTTCGGAGGTTTAACATACATTTTTTCATGAATCGTTACACTAAATGTATTTACTCATGAAATATACAGCTGATACTGAACCTTTACCTTGTCGAAACCTTGGTTTGTTGGTTGAGTTTCAAGCACCTAAAAATCCTTATACGACACAAAAGTAAAAACTTAATCAAAATCTGTGATAGATAAAATGTATACGTACAAGCCTGTTTTCCTACTTTGAAGTAGTACCGCGCAGGGGAACAAACAATTCAAAATTTGTTTTATTTATAAAACTCATGAAAATTAAAGGACTGATTAGCGCCCAAGTGACTACACACCGACAATGCTCTGTGTTGTCTTAAAAACCTTTGCTCTATATTGAAATCACAAAACTATACAAGATAGCTCGGAAATAGTTGACGACTGACATGTTGTAGTGGTAAATAAATCCCCAAAATCGATAGCTCTGTAAGTTTTTGGCATTCGATACTGGCCACATTCGTTTTAATGGACTCACCTAGCTGAAGGCGCTCCGTCACGCATCCGCACGAGTGGGAACACTGTGTTCAACTTCGCCTACAACTGCTAGGCAGTTTAGATCAGTCACTTCTCAATATATTGGTAGCCTATCAAATATACCTTCGAAACTCTTCACTTCTAACTTCTGATTCCACTGAGTGGGCATGTTTCGATTACAGGTGTTACTGGTTAAGGCGTTGTCAAACACCAAATACTTGTGGAATCTTCGATATATTAAGACTGAGACGAAGCCGACTGTTACGATATTAAGTAACCATCGGCTGATGAACTGATTTCAACTTTTCTTAGTGATTAGATCAAAGCCGTCGAAACAAAACAACCGGGACAACACGTGTCCGCCATGGGATTCGAAATTCAGGAACAGTTTATATGGTGGTCCAGGCCACCCGAATAACTGTGAACCGATACTCTCTACTAGTGCAATATTCATCAGAATTTAAAGAAATGAATATACTGCATTAACCTGTGGGTTAAATAGAACTTTAAACTAATGAATATTGCAGATCAACTAGGTATTTGTTTCTCACTAAAGAAACCAAATACGTAACATTGTAACTCCAGTAGTGTCCAAGCGATACCTGAGTTTACAATGTCAAAATTTTAATAAGAGAGGGAAATACTAATAATTCTATTATATCATTAACTTTTAGTAACACTGAATGCGTACATATGAAGCGATCTGTTTGTTAAAAGTGAACGCATAATTTATTGGGACTACATTAGGGTCTCGTTTAGATAAATATTCATAAAGATAGTACAAAAAATGGACTTTGAGGAACTAGAGTATGAATACAGTACCTGAATCGACTTCAGCGTGCGGTTCTCCAATGCACATTGGGACTTTGAAGGGTGGGGAGTTGTCAATATCATTAAGTATTGATCTTAATTCATCCTCAGTTAAATCCTTTGGGATTGGGACCTACAAAAGCGTTTGAAAAGGATGATCCCTCACTTTCTCAGAAGTACATATGTTCACAAACACTTTTTCCTGATTTTTAGATTTTAACTTTACACAAAACCCTATGATCATAACTACGAATTAAAGATTATCAAACCTGAATCAGGTACGACTATAATGGAGCTATTTTGCGTATTTTTTATATGGACCTTTAATGTCAGATGAAAGATAAGTATAATTCATACTTCATCTTTAACTATGTCGAAAATCCCCATCCCTCAAAACCTTTGAACGTTGCGGGTTAACTTTGACAAGGTAATCTGAAAATGTGATCGTTCACTGTTTCAAGGACATCTGAATTGTTAGTGTAGAGTTAACACTTGAAAAAGAATGAAAGTATTTGATGGGGCTTTTTTTATGGATGATCTTTGAGTGCTTCTAAAAAGACCTTAGGAATGTCCATCTACTAACAAGGACTACATGAATGCTATAAACCAATTTAAGGAATTAGGATATTTATGTACAGTTGATATTTAGCGTTAGAAATCACATTTACGATTTTCATCACCAAATGACATAGTCTATAATGACAGAACTTTATTTATTCAAATGATTGAGTTAATTTCGATCTAAAATTCAAGACCTGTTATTGTAAATCTGATTGGTTCTTTCATAAATTATCGTGTCACTGAAAGTTCCCATGCACTTTTTTACTCATCCTCTCGTATTCCTTGCTTTGCTAATGTCCTTATTCGTGTTTTCATTTTCAATGTATGTAAGCGACTATCTGAATTAAACAGAATAAGGCACAAAACGAACAGTGGAAATCGCTATGTAATTCCATGAGTGCAAAAGATGGTGTTGCGAATCTTGAACGAACGTACCACATGAGGCTTTCAAATGGACATTTTAAAACTGAACGCGTGTGGTCATATCACCGAAGCTGCTTCAAACAGCTTGTTATCCGACGCCATTTCAGTTGTAAACCTGCTTGAAAGCACATTAGCAAGCGTAATTGAGATAGATTAGACGATACTCGCATTTTCGTCAGAACCTCAATTAAACTCATAGCTGACCGACCAACATAGACCAAAGGAGGAAGGGTCGACTCCAAAAGGGTCTGTCACAAGTGAAAAATTAGGAAACGAAGTTTCTTCTGTCCACCCTCTAAATAACAACTCCCAGCAAGCGCCTAGAAAACCTTATGGGAAGACAAGGTCTGTTTCTAGCAAATAAAACTATAATCTAGTCGCATAAGTCTTCGATAACCATCCAAGTATCAGAGTGTATCTAACGTGACTGAAATTGATTCTCCGTCGAAAGCTGGTGACTGGGCATAAATCGAAAATAGGAAACGACGCTGTATCGTTAAATACAGATCATTTTCCTAAACGGTAGTTGGGATACCGTAGTTTGATCGTTGTGATAGGTGGGTCATCTTCAAAGGAGTAAAAGTGTATGAAAGTTCAGAACCTACTATGACTTCAGGATATGTTTCAAGATATCTCTAAAGTCAACTGTTCAAAGGTTTATAGAATAGGTAGCCAAACGTACCTGAACTAAACCAAATCAGGCTACTGAAAGTGGTATTTCAGACTCCCAATGGAAGAGACATAAACTGAAATGAGGTAGGAATTTTGTTCGTAGAGACTTAACGCTGGCGGACCATTTCAAAGATGTTGGCGAGAATAACCTTAGAACAGAGGATGATACAGAAGCCTTTTTTAATGAAGCACGAGGCCATTTAAATGATCGTGAGATATGTTATACTAATTCCTGGACGTGCTGAACAAGTGGTTGAAGCTGGATGTACAGATAAACTCTACCAAGCTGAATATCATTACAGCTGCAGAAACGTGGCTGTCGCAGTCCACAGAAAGCAAGGAGGTTGGTTTTGAGAGTTTTACATGGGTACAAAACCCAGAAGCGCAGGAGAGTATTAGTAGCTCTATGCATTAGAAACATTGTCTTTTTTACTGTTATCAATAACATATCCCATGAAATTGGGACGTGTGAATTAGTGTGTTTCCTCCTGATGTACAAAGAAAAAGTGCTTCTGACTGGTTTGATCTACCGCATTTCAAACTCTAAGGAAAATGAGATCTTGTTGGGCGATTCCAACACTTGGTCATCTAGTGGTCCATGTTCTCAATTTTAGATTTTAACGCACCTGAGGTAGACTGTGGAAATCTGAGGATTGGGTTGTAAAATCATTTCTAACAAAATTAGTTAATACGCCTATCGCATGTATCACAGCACAACATAAGACAGAAGCAACTGGGTACGACACGGAAACCGAACCATGCTTACTAGATATCATGTCAACACAATGTGAGTATGAGGTCACGAAATTTGATTATACGTCACCCTTAGGTAAGAGTGACTACGTAGATTTAGTCTTTGATCTGAATTTTATCAACGACCATGTATTAACATGATCCAGACCAAACGTCAATATACAAAAAATTAAAAAGGAACGAATCGAGCGAAGAAATTTCTTTTCAATTAGTTTTTCATCATGGCTCTACACTAATAGATATATGATTCACAATAATTAAATAACACTCATGGAGTAGATACGTTACGTAATAATTATATAATGACATCGATTATAAACTAACATTATTTGGAAGAGAAGGATTAATACTAATCAAAGTTATTATTCGAAAATCAAGCTGTTGCTACGTTGCATAATATAATAATAATATATATTTCGCCACATCTATGTTTATTTATCAATTCAACTGCTCCTGTGGAGCCAGTTATATAGGGCGTACAATTCGGCAAGTTTGTCAACGAATAACAGAACACCATCCGTCGTGGTTGACCAAAGGACAGGTAAAGGGGATTAAGAGTTCTATTCTCGCTCACTTGGTAGACACAGATCATCATGTTGAACTGAATAAAGCTTTTAAGGTTATCTACCATATTCCATCTAATTTGCCACATGGTTTGCGAGCTCGTCTATTGCACATAGCTGAAGCCATCGCAATTCATATCCACAAACCGAACCTTTGTATCCAAAAGAAGTTTGTACAACCACTCTCGCTACCTTGGATATCGGTATAGCGGAGTTTGTAGCATAATTTCGGTAAACAATTATCTTATACCTTCAATTTTTTTGTATTTTACTTATTCTCTTCATTCGTCTCTTGATTCTTACATAACTACTAAATTACTGACCATTCACCAAAATATTTCGTTAGTTCTTTCTTCTCTCTTTTTTATACATTATGCAACGTAGCAACAGCTTGATTTTCGAATAATAACTTTGATTAGTATTAATCCTTCTCTTCCAAATAATGTTAGTTTATAATCGATGTCATTATATAATTATTACGTAACGTATCTACTCCATGAGTGTTATTTAATTATTGTGAATCATATATCTATTAGTGTAGAGCCATGATGAAAAACTAATTGAAAAGAAATTTCTTCGCTCGATTCGTTCCTTTTTATTTAACAAATGTCAAAATGGGAATTTTCACTTTGTACCAAAAATTATACATTTATTATCAGTGGACCAGACGATAGAACGAGAACCCCCAATAAGACAGTTTCGGGGATGTTCAGAAGTTTGTACACAAAAGTTATTGCGTCTCATATCCGTTGGAGCAGGCCAAAAAGTCTGAGAAATTCCCCACTGTGGCTCAGCAGAGACACACTCCACTTCGATTCGTACAACCTCCTCATACACTATTAAAAGAATCAATATCTTTAGTCTGGACACATGTGAGCGATACCATTCTCAAAGTAGATCATAAAAAGTGTACTCATAGTACAGTAGTAATATAAAAACATTATTAAATCGCTGGTTCATCTGTGAAGATGTACTGCCATTGATTTTTATCAATTGTATCTATTTACCAACCCTGCTTGGGGCGCATCATATCTGTTAATCAATGTACCTTGGGTTCATGCCTGCTCTGTCAGAAATATATAATTATTATATTGGTATCGACAAACCTATGAGACCCCGATAAAATGCATCCTAGATCATTAAAGGAATTGAAAATTTTCATACTAAATCACTCAAGCATATGTTTTGATCAATCTATAACCCAAAATATATTACTAAAATGCACCATAGTAAGTCCCATCTTCAAAGTGGTTACGAGACACAAACCTGAGAACTATCAAGCCGTAAGCCTAACCAGCGTGGTTGCTGAAAAATTCGGAAAATATGATTTGTCAGGAGTTGTTTAAGTGTTTAAACGAAAACAGAATTCTTTTGGAACACACTATGCTTTTAAGACAGTTTATTCATGTCTCACAAACTTATTTGTATCTCATAAAATTTGGTGTGCTCTTAAAAATCGAAAGTTATCAATAGACCTAACCTGCATTAACTAATTCATGGCTTTTGAAAAGTTCCTGACGACCGTCTGCCATACAAGATAAGTGGTATGAGAATTGGAGGCAACATATTTATGTGGATAAAGAACTTTCAAATTGGGTGCCAACTAACAATACAGGTGAACGTCATGTTGGCTAGCTGGAATGTTATGGTTAGCGGAGTGCTTCAGCGTACAGTTTTGGGGACAGTGTTGCCCTTCCTAGTTAAGAGATTCAAAGTGATCTAAAGGAGTTATCTGAATTGGATAGAATTCTGCAAATGCCAATAAATGCTTCCAAGTGCATACTGGCCATCAAGATACCGATGCATATACAGTGGATCACACTAAGCTGTCTGTCGTCTAAACACATAATCACTTAAAAGCCATCGTTAGCTAAGACTTAAAAAACTACTTTATACTGCCGCTAAAAGTTTCAGAACCCAATGATAAATGCGAAGAGCCTTTAGCCATATCGATGCTTAAACATTTTTGACTTTGTCTACAGTGTTCGGTTGTCGTAAACTCAAGCACTGTATACAAACATCAAGTCCCTGCCTAAAAAGAGAGCAAAATTTTAGAAGAGATTCAAAGAAGCCCGGCTAAGATGATTCTCGAAATGGTAAAGCCCCCGTATGACAATAGACTTGGCAAACCAAGTATATATCCCTTGTTATGTAAACGGATCAGAGGAGACTTGATCACAGTTTTTAAGTCATTAATTTAAAACCGATATGCTCTCATTTTTATTGTCTATCAACATAGAGAATTTACGAGAACATTTTTAAAAAAACGTTTGCAAGCCCAGAAAAAATTACTCACTAGCTGACTAACGACATTGCCATATAATCACCGACCAATAAAGTTCATTCAACACGTGATTGAAACCCCATCTATAGACCCTTTTTTAAAAAGTTGGATCAGCTGAGAGACCATCATTACTAGAAATAACATAGGCCACCCAGCTTACTTCTCTTTCCGGACTGAGGCTTAAACTGATATCAACAATACACCCTAAATAACGCTACGATAAATAGTG